TGAGTACTGTGGATGGTCTCTACATTGCCTTATTAAAACAAAGGTAAACAAATGCCCATAAGAGATGCGAGCATTGTCCTGAAGGGATAAGGTCGTATAAAATTGAAATTAAAATTAAAATTTTTGTTGGCAGACACAGCTAAGAATCATATTACTAAACCAAAGATATATGATCATAGGAAATTAGAGTAGATGCATTTAAAACAAAGGTAAAATATTGCCCTAAGGGAGTTTAAGATCATTCCTGTAATTTGTTTGGGAGGTGTCCTGAACATGTTTTTAAGCCTTAACGTTAGGAACAGTCATAATATTAAGAGCACATGTTTAAAAGGACTTCTTAGTAATACAATTAAATTATTCCAATTAATCAGTTTCTCTCTGATTGATACAGAATTATAATATCTTCTAATCAATAACTGTTTTTAATGTACATTTAATGAACATTTTTTATTCAGTTATAAGCTTATACCTAAAGATTCTTAGGATAAAACACAATTAAATATGATATAAAAATTGTAGGCATTTACATTTCAAAAAATATGTAATATCAGAAGCTTCTGAAAGATTAAATTAAAAGCACAAGTTAATAATTAAAAAGTATGTATAGTCAGCCCTCCATATCTATGCTTTCAACCAACTGCAGGTTGAAAATATTTGAAAAAATTCCAAAAAGTTTCAGGAAGCAAAAGTTTAATTTGCTTGTGTTTTAATCTATGTATTTGCTTTCATTTAATGACCTGAAAGAGAATCTGTAAGTGTTGAAGGAAAGAAAATGTTATGTTGTTATTGATATTTTACTATATAGTTAAGCATTCAATGGTTTCATCTGTACATGTTTAGTATGAATATGTATGGACGTTTTTCCTTGTCATTATCCCTAAACAATACAGTATACCAACTATTAGCAACATTATTATTATTATAATTAGAGACAATTCAAAATATACAGAAGGATGTGTTTAGGTTACATGCAAATATTAAGCTATTTTTTATAAGGGATTTGAACATGTGCAAGTTTTAGTATAGTGGGGGAATCCTGAAACCAATTTCCTGTGGACACCAAGTGACAACTGTATACATTTTATCAAACAAAACTCAAGTGCTTTTAAGCCAGAAGAAACCAATTGTGCTACAAGTGTTTTAAACTATTCCAATAACTTATATATTTTTCATTAATATGTAATATTGTTGAAAAAACCAGTTATTTGGCATTATTTGGAAATTATTGATATTTATTCTTTATCATCAGCTTTCAGCTTATTATGAAAAATAAAGTTTAAAATTTGCAAATAAATTCATTTATTGTTTTTAACGTTAAAATTATAAGTATCTGAAGAAATTAAATATTTCTTAACATTTTTTAAATTTTGAAAATAGTAATCTAATTGAAATTATGTAGTGTTAGATTCATTACTTTTTACAACTCGTGTGTAATTTTTTGCTTATAAAATGTTATATTCAGCTGAAATTATTTTTGAAAGTGAATGGCAGGTTATTCAAACTTTTAAAATGGTTTTTTAAAGAGATTGATAGCAATTTCCATTGTTTTAGATGTATTCATATTTATTATTTTTGCATTAATACAACAAACTTTGCACCTGATAATGCTTGAGATGCATCAAAGCTCTAGATGGGATTGGAAGTGACTGAAAGGATATAAAATAAAACAAATACAGTATAAAAAGAATAGTAGCATGAAGTACAAAGAATGATTTTTGAAGTGTTTAGCCTGTGAATTGGATCACAGGATCATATAGTACTCTATGGGAGTGTATATTTCAATTTCTTGAAATATATGATAATTAATTTAGTTTGCAAAAAATTCTTTAATGTAAGTTACAGGTTTTAGTTCAAATATCTAAAACACCAGTTTAAATTTTAATTATTTTTTCAGTTCTATTAATTATNTTACTGGAAAATAGAGTTATGAATACGTTTATTAAAATTAACAGTATAAATAGAAGAAATAACCAGAAGTAACAGAATTTTTTGAGAAAATGTAACTATAGGTATGAATTAAATTTTTGAGTGAATGAATTTAAAATCTAATGTAAATTAATATAAAACAAAATTATTTTGGTATTATATTTTATGCAAAAGCTTTAGATCTCACTGAGAATAAATACCAGTAAACAATCATTATATGCTTAATTCAAGTTTCCATGAGACCATACAAACATGGCAGGCATATAATTAGTGACCCAGGAAATGCTTTTGCATTGTTACATAACCTCATTTGATCCTCCAGCAAAACAATTAATTCATAACTAAACTATTACCATATTTTTGCAGAATGACTGGCATGCTGCATAAAAAGGGGGAGATCAGCATGCTGGTTAAACTCCAACTAAAGTATAAAATTAATCAATCTAACAAAATTAGTTGTTAATTAAATTGTAAAGAAAACATTCTTCCAAGTACAATGAAATAACATTGTAATTTGACTAGCTTAAAATTATGAAAAGAGTTTTCATTTACAAGACAATAAAACAATTAATAAACAAAACTTACTCTAACACCTTGTAAACATGCAGCCAAATTTATTAACTTCCTAACGTTTTTGGTCATGTTAAAAGACCTTTATCAAGAAAAAAACTTAAAAATTCGAACACGGTACATTTGCATAAATGAATAGGTTTTTCTATTCGTTTATGCAAATCGATAACCTTTATGCAAATTTTCTAACAATGTAAAATACTTTTGGAATTTTATTCAGAATTCCAAAAGTATTTTACATCGTTAGAAAAAAGACATCGTTAGAAATGAAGAAATGAAACAAGTAATGTGTCGTTTTTGATGTAATATGACAGTTTAACAGTTTTAGAATAAAAACTTGTTTGCATTTTAATGACAGTTTAAGTGAGGTTATATATCCCCTCATAACCTCACTTAAACCGGCTCGACATTCCCCAGGATAAATCGGCATGCTGGCTTTTACCATATGGAAATATCTGATTTCATGGTCTCCCCGGATAGATCAGCATATCAGTCATTTCGCAAAAATGCGGTAAATGGATTTTCTGGCCCAAAGGTTAGGAATCAAGCATACTAGAAAACAGTAGTCAATTTGTATCATAATATGACTGTAAATTTGAAAAAAAAATGTGAAGTCGCTACATTAGTGGTTTTGGAGCATCTCCCAAACAATAGACTGGTGATCATGAGCATCCATGCTTAAAGTAGGATTTGAAAATGCTGTTTGTTAAGCTAGAAACAATGTCAACATTCAGTATGGTTGATAGTAACTTCTAATATCCTTTCTCAAACTTTCAAGGAATACAATGGTGGTGTTGCCTGTTTTTTACCAATTATAAAGGCTCTCATGGTTTTATTATATTAAAATTTTATTTCACCCATTATTCACATTATATGTTTGTCATCTGTGTGGCTGGCCTTTAAGAATATAGTAGACAAAATGTGTACATTCATTAAAATACAAAAAAAATTATAAATATCCATAAATATTTATTTATGGATATTTATTTATGGATATGGACTATAATATGGTTTTACATTATTAAATTATAAATATCCATAAATATTTAAATTTATGGATATTTAAATTATAAATATCCATAAATAAATATTTATGGATATTTATAATTTAATAATGTAAAACCATATTATAGTAAAGTTCTAAAATTATTTCCTTTAGCATCATCTATTGTTAAGCAGTTCCTTTTGTGTAAATAGTTTTGGTGCATTACAATCAAATTGTAATGCATCAAAACTTTGTGTGTACATGTCCATGTATACATCCTAAGCATTACATATTTTTACTATTTTCAATATATTTTACACACTAAATATATGATTTTTATTTATTTAGTTCACATTTTCGTGTTTGATATTGGTATAATGAGAAAGAATGGGTAATAAAGATATAAATATGTATTGTTATTGAAATATTTCCATTAACTTTGCTTTTATATCATAATTTACATATTGACATACTTATGTAACATTTTGCTATATATATGCTAAGTTCTTTATTGAGATTTTGTGTAGGAATTGTTACTATACTACATACTTTGCTTCTGAATCTGTAGTTAGACTGAATAGTGATCAAAGAATTATTGAGGTAATGCAACAATGATAAATAATTATTAAAATATGATTTTGAAACTGATTTAAATCTTTGAAATCATCTAGGAATGTATTTTCAGTACTCATTTAAAATATCAAATAAATTATTGATCTATAAATCTTACACAGCTGAAATACAAATAAGGACAAATAATTTGGTAACATTTGATATAAATTAATAATATAAATGTTATTTTAATATATACTATTATTTATCAATGATTTTAATTATAGTTTTAATGATTTGATGACAGAATATTTACCATCAAATTTATTTTAACTTTAAAATAAGTTTTTTTTTAAATGTGATAAATATATATACATAAGTGCAATTTTATTTAGTTAATTAAATTTGTATAGCTTATTTTTTGAATTTTTTTTTAAATTTTATGCAAGTATTTGAGTAATAGGTCTGCCTGTGTTTGGAATTATTTGAGTTTTAAATGATAAAAATTCCAAAATTTAACATTCCTGTTATTTAAAAGGAATGTTATTGCAAAAAATAAATAACAGTGATGCACAAAACAGCAGTACCTAACCAAAAACAGTGTATAAAACAACAAAGCAGCGTAAGTACTTTACCTTCAGTGTAGAAAGCTTCTTCGGATACAACTTTTACATATAAACATAAGTAAAAAAAGTTTTCATATCAAGTACTTTCTATAAGGTGACATGTTCTAGTGATAGTTTTTCCTTCAGATACTGTGGTTTGTTGTATAAGAACCGTATATTTTGCATTGTATTGTACAAAGTTTTTATTTATTGTAGGTAAAAATACTTGTGCTGCTTCAATATAGTTTTATGTACTGTTTTTGTTACAAGCATTATAATTTTTGTACATTTATAATAAACACAGTGAGAACACTCAAATATGTTATTTTTATAAATATTTCACTATATTATTTATTTGACAGATTCATCAATCCAGCAGAATCGCCTTTCAGAAAATCAATCTTCAACCATGCTTTATAAAGGTAAAAAATATTGTAATTTTATTCTTTTATTGAATTTATGCTTGTGATATTAATTTTAAGTTATTGGATAACAAATATGAAATTAAAAACTTACAAAGAATTCTCTCCATCCTTTAATTCACTCAACTGCATTAGGAGTTTCTGTTTCTTATATAAGTAGATCTTCATCCTCATCACCCAAGCTTTGTTCACATGAATTAAGCAAATGTTTTATATTCAGATTCTGGTTTGCTTCGTAATAAATATTGATCATGTGTAACATTTTTTAATTTGAAAATTGTAATAAGAATTTTTGAATTTGAACTTCCTATCTAGTCAAAATATTAGTTATATCTAATTTAAATTTACACTGTTATGCTTTATTTCAAATGCTTGTTTTATTGTAAAGTCTGAAATTAAAAAATGGACAAAATAAATCTTCAATTTTATATAT